TTAAACGTTTTTTATAACCATAAATAACAAAATTAATTTAGCACTAGCATTTTCCATAGGCCTCTAATAATCTACAAAATTTTATTACTATTTTGATACGGAACTCTGCCGGTTCCGCTTCGCCAAATTTATTTATTCGAATAATCAATTTCCATACAAGTGTGAAAATGACGTGTTATCATTTGATCAGAATCAATCTCCTGTCGATTGAAGGGGGGCCCCACGAGAGATTTTCTTTGAAGGAGCACCCGCTCTTGCAGTTTATGAAGTTGTAAATGCTCCTTCTGACACGTTACTTATCAAAGATAAAAGGAGTTGCAGGGGGTTGCTTTTTGCTGGAATAAGGAGCTTATGGCGGGCAAATATTTTATGGGGTTATAATAATAAATGCAGGCGAGTTGATTTTGTATTCTAACGATTCCCTATATGAAAATAAAATCGTTAATAAATTATTATATTTTTTTATTGAGTCTGATACGGGTGAGATTTATGTGTTTTTATAAACTCCATATGTCCTTTATCATAATTCCTCGTAATTGAGTCGTTACAAATCAATTCCCTGATGATGACGACGATGATGTGTGTAAAATCTAGCCTAAAAATAGTCATCCATTATAAGAGACGTCGCTCAGGCGCCTCCGTACATGAAAAAACAAGAAAAAAATCAAAAGATGTCAAATATCAAAAGATCTTCTCATCAGTTGGACAAATTTTCTACCTCAGGAGAAGAATGACAGCATGTTTTAACAGAAATTTGATATCTCTAGGAGGAAACATACTAATAGATGTCGACTGAGACTGAGAATATAATTTGAGGCGTTCAACAATAAAAGATTAGTATTGCCTTAGTTAAAATACCACTTACACCTAATTTTGCATTAAAAATGTTGGTAATTTTGTGGTCGTAATTTAATTTTAACGCCTCCTCGTTGTCGGTTTCGGTCGTAATTTATAATTGTTTACGACTAAACGGTCATTTGTTGAAATAACTCACTTTTGACTCGTAAAGGGCTATTTTATGCCTTTACGGAGCCCTATCGATTTATTTAACCGTCGACAACTGTTGGAGGAATGGAATAAAAATTTTAAAATATTATTATTAAAAAACAATTTTTACAATATAGAAGACAAAAATAAAACATTACTGGCAAAAGGATCAAAAATGAATTTTAAATAAAAAGGGACTCTACTGACGAGCAAACTAATACAAGTCAAAATAAAGTAGTACAAAAGGATAAAAAAGGGCAACTTTTTTGGTAATTTGGAAGACAAAAATAGGAATCTACTAAAAATGAATTTAAAATTAAATAAATAAATTTAATTCAATATTAAATAAAAAGGGACTCTACTGACGAGCAAACAAGTACAAGAAAACAAAAGTGAGTGAGACCTTTGTTTAAGCAGCAAAAACATAAATTCTACTAAATTTATATAATATCATTATTAAAATAATATTTATTTAAAAAAAACGAGTATGATACAAATACTGACACCCAATCAATATCAAATTTATTTTTGTTAATATAGGTATATTAAAATTGGAGTAGATTTTTTAAATAAATGATTGTGGACGTTAATGAGACATTTGTATAATTTATATAATGTTACTATTAATTAATATTTAATTTAAAAAAAAAAGAATATAATACAAAGGAAGCGTTATTTTATTTAAACAACTGAATCAGAATCAAATTTATTTTGTTAATATTTATCAAAAACAAACTTAATTTGAATAAATTGAAGAAGTTGTACCAAAAATTATAGAGATATTTGATTAAAAATTAAAAACAGAAAATAAGTTCACTTCTGGTACTAATTAGGGCTTTATAATAAAATATATTATTTAATATCTCTCTATTACTAGTAATATTTCATACAGAAAACTACTAGTAATATTTAATATAAAAAAATTATATCAAGTTTTTGCATAAATTATTTTTTATAAATATTATATTTTTATAAATATTATATTAAATAGTAGATTACGGTCCTGTTGAAAATAATCTGTGTAAATATATGATTTTTAATCAGAGATTTAATTTTAATCAGACTTTACACAATAAAAACGAAGGGACAAAAAATTATTTAAGAACGTGACATCTGTCATATTTTGAATTATGGAAATACACGTGCATATACACACACACATTTATATATAATATTATATATATACATACACACACATATATATATATATATATATATATATATAAACAATTATTTAAAAAACTGAGTTACGTTTAAAGTTTGTTTTAAAAAATCTTTCAGTCCTTTCGAGTCTTTGTTTGACTCATCTTAGGTGCAAATGCATGTATACATTTAATATAAAATGCAATAACAATAAAAAGAAGTATATAAACAATTTTTTTATAAAAATTTGCATAGAAACTATAGCTACCTCACAAACAGCGATTCCTTGGAAAAAATATTCCCAGGATCTTACGATTTCAAAGACTCCTAAATTTTGCCTCAGAGCCCGTATTCTTTTCTTTGTTAGTACGGAACCCTCGGTCAGTACCTCGTTTTTAACAATTTCTTAATCAGATCAAGCGAAATAACGTTTTAGACAATGCAAATATTATTACAATGGGACGACCTGACGACTCCCTCGCAAAGTCGCCGAAACACAAAAGGGAGCCCCCTCGAAACAAGGGGGCCCTTCTGGAAGCAAAAAGGTCCTAAAACACTCACTCAGCTACTGTGATAATATTTGCTCAAGTAATTCGGAATCATTTTTATTTTAGAAGTAGACACATGTAAAGAAAATTGATAAATAACTTAATGAAATTGACAATTTTACTTAGATTTTTTTAAATGATTATTTTATATGAAACATTTCATTTTAAGGAGAAAATCCACCCTTCAGGTGGTGTATGTCAAATCCTGAAGCTACTGATGACAATATTATTTCAGGATATACATATATATTTTTCAAGGGTATAAAATTTCCAGGATACGTTGTCCTTCTGTTTTTACAGGAAGTTAGACGCCAGGCGCCAAAGATTAAATTTAAAATTATATCCTTTTTAGGAGTATTATCTTACTTACGCAAAACCAGCAAAGTCATTCGATTTAATTTTAGAATTTTGGAATGTTTTTGGGATCTTAGACCAAATATATCATTTACATAATAGATTTATATAATGGGTATTTAATTTGTATTTATTATTTTATTTTTCTGGGTTTCTTATCAAATTCAAACCAGGAATAAATTTTTCTCCAACGTTGTCCCGACAAATCCTGATTTTGATATAGAAGGTTTGAGGGGTGAATTATGGTTTTTAAGATTTTCAGGAAAAGTTGGTAGAAATTGTGTCAAAAATATTGAAATAAATTAGATTAACAAGTCAATAGGCAAATTCAATTTGGTGTTTGGAATTTTTGAAAAAAGTTGGTCAACAAAAAATGTTTACTTGGAGATTGGATGGTAAGTTTAAAAGTTGAGCTTTTGAAAATACTGGTAAATAGAAAATTGCATAAATGAGTCTCAAAAAATAAATATTGTATTCCCAAACAGATCTAGGGACCAGAAATATCATTTGCATAGTAGATTTACATATTGGGTAATTAATTTATAGGGTTTTATCAAATTCAACCCAGTTAATCAGGAGAAAAATTTTCTCCAACGTTGTTCCAAAAAATCCTAAAGCGATTTTGAAACAGAAGCTTTGGAGAGTGGAATTGTTGAAATTATAGATTTTTAGGAAAAGTTGGTAAAATTTGACAAATATTGACTCAAATATTGAAACAACTTGGATTAGAAACAGATCAATAGAAAAAAATCAAATTGGCGTTTGGAATTTTTGGAAAAAGTTGGTCAATAGAAAAAAGAATATTTTGGAGATTGAAGGGTGAGTTTAGAAATTTCTAAATATTCTCAAATATGAGCTGATAGCTGTCTGATTTTGGAAAAATTGGAAAAGAATTTGGAAATAGCGTTTAAGTCAACTTGTCAGCATTCTATGCTAAATATAATTATTTTTATAGATTGCAGAATGAAAAAAAATAAAAAAAAAATTCCATCGAAAAAAAAGTCTGGACGTAAATGAAAAAAATTACATTAACATTGTCTCAAACAATTTTGAAGCAATTTAAAAATTGTATTTAAAAACAAATCAGTCTGAAAAGGTAGGTCAAAATATCACAAAGATTATTCGAGAAATCAGATAGAAAAATTTAAAGATGAGCTTGTAAGAACAGAATGTGAAAAATTTCTTTTTTTGCCAACGTTTTTCCCATATTTTTTGAAGAATTTTTAAAATTGGATTCAAAAATTTCAAATTTGGCATTTAAACTTTTAGAAATTGTTGACAAAGTCTTAAAATGCTATTCAACTCGTTTAAGTTGCTTTTTGTCTCAAAAGCAACTTAAACGAGTTGAATAATAGGGTTTAAAACAAGAGTAAAACTTTCTTCAATTGACTCATAAATTGAAGAAGGTTGGTCAAATATCCTGAAGCTTTTTCAAAAATTAGATCAGCTGAGAAAACAGTTTGAAATTAATTTCTTTTGGATAATGTTGACTGGAACTGGACTTTGAATGGAACAAATCACTCGCAAAAGATTAGCCAAAAAATCCTGAAAAATATTCAAAAATTGATTATGAAAACCAGAAACCAGTTTGAATGTTGGGCTTTCGGAAAAAGTTGGTCAAACCGTGTCTCTAAGTAATAAAAATTTCATACATTTTTGTCACAACTTTATAAATGCAACATTTTGCAACCAGGGTAGTTCATAACAATTCACCTAGTTTGTTTTCAACTATCCTTCCCGATCCCTCGCACATCGATCCAAATTCCTGTTCCTCATTACCCGCACACAGAAGCCATTAAATCCACCATTCCCGACCTAAACTTGTCCAGAAAACTACCTCACTGAACCGAAACGTCCATCCATCGAGTCATCCCTACCAAAAACCTTCGACATTTACAACCCCGCCCAGAACGCACCCCTTGACAAATCGCACCCATCCATTCCCCATCGGAGCACACCTCCGCCCCAATGGTGGTCCTTTACCTCGGTCCTGCGCATGGGGCACCGCCAGTCAGACCGCCGTCGGAGGAGGAGGCCCCCGTGGCGCCTCCTACCTTTGTCTTGATGGTAGGGATGTCCCGGTAAGGTAAGGTAAGATCACTAGCCGGATCATACTAGTATCCGTTACACGTTCGGGATATTACACCGGTATTATATCGCAACGGCATTGGGATATATATCGATATATTGTGTATAGATATATCGATATATGCGAATATCGGAGTCGATGGCGGATCGATATCGATATGTGATCGATCGGTGGTGAGTTTCTAAGGTTTCGACGGAAAAATGAAGTTTGGCTAAAAATTGTGCAGTGAGGAAAGGATTGAGGTAATTGTCCAAAAAGCACTAAAAAAGTTGCAAATAGTATCAAAAAATGTGGTGTCAGTGTTTGAATTAAATCTAATCAACTATTTTAGTGTTGACGAGACTTGTTGAAATGTTTTTGTGTTAGAAGTTCAAGCAAACATTTAACTTTTGAGTTGAAAAATCTTCTTTAAATTTTATTGTGTGTGAACAAAGTTTAAGTTTTCAGTCAAAAATCATCTACATGATTTTTCCCCAATCACCAACAAATTATCTTTGTCCCCAATTGTGTGTGAAAAAGTTCTAACTAAAATTTGGCTATATTAGTAAGATGTGCTTGACTAAAATAGACATTTTTTGGATAAGTAAACAGATTTTTACAGACTTACTTTAAATTTTACAGTTGACTTAGTATTTAAAAAAAACATTTTCACTAAAATATAAAATTATCAAAATATCGAATTTTAGTTAAATATGCTTATAAAATAATAAATCGCGCAATATAGAAGTAAAATCCTAAACAATTGTCACAACTTTGTAAAATATTAAATAGATTTGTGTAAATAATTTGTGCAAACTTCATTTAATAAATTTCATATAACAATTTATATAAAATTAATAAACTAATATCAATAAAACGTTAGAAATGATCTAAAAACTGTGAAAATTTGATTTTTTTTAGATAATTAATTTAGTTTATTTAATTAAAAACATTTTGTTAATATGCATTCTAAATAGTGAGATTTAATTCAGTATTCTGTGATATTAAAAAAATACTACAAAATTTCTTGTAAATTACCAAAATGACAATCCGGACACTTAAACGTTAAAATATATTTATATTTATATCAAGATATTTTAGAACTCAAAAATATATGCTAAAAATAATAATTTGTGCAAAGTATAATCGTCATTTTTTTAAACAAAAATGTGTAACTATCTTTTAGTATTTCAAATTGTGTCTTGAAAAGTGTGTTAAAACATTTAAAATAGTTGGTGTAATATTTTTACTGATAAATCTATACTTAAATATTGTTTTTTTATATGACATAATTTCAGTTTTTAAATAATTTGTGTTGCAAAAATATAAAACAACAGTAAAAACAAGTTTAAATGGTGATTTAGTGAAACAGTTCTATAAAATCTATACTATCTTGTCTGTAAAATAGCAAAATTATGCAAAATCGTATTTAAAAAGCTTTACACTAACTATTTAAAAATATAATATATTAATTTCAAAAAGTGTTTTTAGAAACATTTAAAAACATTATCCTATAAAAATAAATAGTCTTATGTGTGACAAATATGTATGAAGTGCTAATGGTGATTTTATAGATCAGATGTTCTAGGATTAATTTAAACATTGAAAAATTCCATGTGTTACAAAAAGAATAAAATAATTTTCAAAAACACTTTAAATACTTTCAATGTGCATTGCTAGTATGATAATAAAATCCTACAATTTCTAAACGAAAACTAATTTCGTTTAGAATACTACTAACAATAATGTGCCGTGTATAAGTCCTTTACCAAACTGGCTTCCCCAAACGCTCAAAGTCCCGGGCCGGAGCCCCAGGGCCGTCCCGCCGCCCTGCCGCCGAGCATCCGGGTCAACACGCCCGAACAGATCCTGATAGCCCACAGGAACCGGGAACAGATTCTATTGGGTCACTTGGGGGCCCCCGTAGAGGTTTCGAGTAATGGGTCCGGGGGCTCCGGCGGTTCGGCTCCGGCGAGGGTTCCGGAGATAACAAAGCCGACTCCGGTGGCGGCGCGAGGACACCAGCTGGCGATACCGAGTCCGCTGTTCGCTTTGCCGACGTTGTCTTTCACGGCGGAACAGGTATGGATTTGTAAAATAATTGAAATATCTTGAAAACGAGAAGTCGTAGGGGGAAATTTTGTATTAGACATTTGTAGCTGATGAAATTCTTAACAATTTTGCCTAAATAACATCTAAGCTAAGATTAACTGATTTCGAATTATATTAATTTGAAAACTACACAACATAGACTAGCCGAGTCCGCTGTTGGCTTTGCCAATGTTGTCTTTCACGGCGGAACAGGTACGAATTTGTAAATTATTTGAAATATTTTGAAAACAAAAAGTCGTAGAAAAAAAATTGTGTACTAGACATTTGTATCTAATGAAATTCTTCATAATATTGCCTAAATAACATCTAAGCTGAATTTAACTGATTTCGAGTTATTTTAATTTGAAAAGTACATAACATAGTCTAGCCGAATTCGCTGTTTGCTTTGCCGACGTTGTCTTTCACGGCGGGACTGGTACGGATTTGTAAATTATTTAAAATATTTTGAAAACAAAAAGTCGTAGAGAGAATTTGTGTATTAGACATTTGTAGCTGATGGATTTCTTCATAATATTGTCGAAGTAACATCTATGCTAAAATTAACTGATTTGGAGTTGAATTAATTTGAAAACTACAGGCTAGCCAAGTCCGCTGTTATGCTTTGCCGAGGTTGTGAAATACAAACAGACACAGATTTGTAAATTATTAAGAATATCTTGAAACCGAAAAGACGTAGAAAGAAATTATGTATTAGAGATTTGTAGTAGATGCAATTTTTATCAATATTGCCTAAATAACATCTAAGCTCTACTAACTGATTTGGAGTTATACAAGTTTAAAAACTAGATATACAAAAATTTACTGGTTACCGAGCTGACGGTACCGTAAAAGGTACGGATTTTTCGTTTTTTGAAAATATCTTGAAGATGGTCGTAGAAAAATAATGTGGAATAGAAATTTGTATACAGAAAAAATGTAGATTAAAAAAATCTTCACAATTTTGCCTAAATAACATCTAACCTAATTTTAAGATTAACTGATTTCGAGTTATAAAAATTTAAAAACAACATTCACGAAAATTTACCGGTTACCAAGTTGATGGTACCAAAACATATATGGATTTGTAGTTTTTTGAAAATATTTTGAAAATGGAAGCTCTTAGACAAAAACTGTGTAAAGAAAAGCTTATAGCTTTATAAAGCTTGTAGCTTATAAAATTCTTTACAATATTGCCTAAAGAATGTATAAGCTAGAATTAACTGGTTTCGAGTTATATTATTTTAAAAACTGTACAAATTAATTACTGGCGCGCGTCGACACTTTCAAAATGGTATGAATTTGTAGTTTTTGGGAAAAATCTTGAAAATGAAAGGAAATACAGAAAAAATTGTATACAAAAAATGTAGATTATAAAATTTTCACAATTTTGCCTAAATAACATCTAACCTAAGATTAACTAATTTCGAGTTATAAAAATTTGAAAACAACATTCACAAAAATTTACCGGTTACCAAGTTGATGGTACCAAAACATATACGGATTTGTAGTTTTTTGAAAATATCTTGAAAATCGAAGGAAAATTGTAGCTTATAAAATTCTTCACAATATTGCCTAAATAATGTATAAGCTAGAATTAACTGGTTCAGAGTTATTATAATTTGAAAACTATAAAAAAATTTTTAGTTACCTATATAATACCTTTAAAAAAATTCCACAACATTACATAAATAATGTACTAGAACTAGAATTTACTAATTTCGTGCTATAGTAAAGTAACCCCCTAATATAGTCAATAAATAAATGATATTTATTTATATTTATTATTTCAGGTGAGTTCGGTTTGCGAGACTTTGGAGGAATCAGGAGACATCGAAAGGTTGGCCAGGTTTCTGTGGTCCATTCCGATTGCCCATCCGAATATTTTGGAGTTGGACAGGTCGGAGGCCGTCTTAAGGGCCAGGGCCATCGTGGCCTTTCACAGTGGACACTTTAGGGAGTTGTATGCGATTTTGGAAAGGCACAAATTCACGAGGGACTCCCATGGAAAACTGCAGGCTATGTGGCTGGAGGCTCACTATCAGGTAAAATATTGTTACAAGAAAATTGTTGCATTTTTAAAATATATGACAGTGTGAAAAGGTCTATTTTCATTATATTTTCAGGAAGCAGAGAAGTTAAGAGGTCGCCCTTTGGGTCCAGTCGATAAATACAGGGTCCGAAAAAAGTTTCCTCTTCCTCGGACTATTTGGGATGGCGAACAGAAGACACATTGTTTCAAGGAGAGGACGAGGTGTCTTCTTAGAGAATGGTAAGGATACAATTTTATATTATATAATTTATTTTTATTTAAAATTATTGTTTTATTTTTAAGGTACCTACAGGACCCCTACCCCAACCCCACAAAAAAACGAGAGCTGGCCCAGGCGACCGGTTTGACTCCGACCCAAGTTGGAAATTGGTTCAAAAATCGGAGGCAGAGGGACAGGGCGGCTGCTGCCAAAAATAGGTAATTTATAAGAAAATAATTATGTCCAATTGTCTAATTATTTGTATAAAAATATGTAGATATGTATATGTATATGTAACAGCGAAACAGTAGTTGTGTGTCTAAATTTTTTATACGTGATGAAATCTCTAAGAAAATCGTTTAAATCAAAAGACAAAAGAATCATTACAATAAATGGTGTGAACGGAATATATCTCACAAAGTACAGTTTTGTCTCTCGGAATCATTTTCATTACAAAACATAATTCTCGACATGGAACAATGCAGACGACCATTTTGTTAGAACATTTAATGACAATTTGTCATCATTTTTCATATTTTACGAAATCAACATTTATTATTCTTCACAATTGCTACATAATGCGAGAGCTGAAGGAAATGGAAATTTATTTGTAAGTAATAAAAAAAAATCATTTATATTTGGTAAATATAGGCCGATGTATGATATTCCTTATTCCAGCATATTCTGATATTAACCCCCCCCCCTCCCCTTTGTCATCAAAAGTAAGCAAATTTCTTACCAAAAATAGGTAAAATAAGCAAATCAATAACCCTCCCGCCCCCCTATAGTGCTTACGTAATACTCGAACGGCCCCTAATTGTGAGTGGAACAATTAGTTTTATAATGTTTTGTAACTAAACCAAATTGTAGATTCATAATTTTGCACTACTAAAATACATTACTTACGTTCCACAAATACTTTACGACTTACAACCATTTTACCCAAAAAAATCATTCCATTTCCCTGTCGATGGTGTTAAAGGCAATTAAGAAGCAGCTTGCTAATGTGCGACACCCTTAACAAAAAGGGAATAATAATAATTCCATCGGCCTAAGTAAGCCTACACGCCCTTTTCTCTCTCGTTTTTTTTTATTTTATCTACATTTACTGAAGATGTTTGCCCATTATCGAAACGTAAGGCATTAGGCAAATGGCTTGGAGAAAAAACCCGAAATCGGAACGAAAATCGAGGACGGAATAGTAATTGGTGGAATTTCCTAAGGAGTCAAGGATTTTTGGCGAGAACACGATAATGGATATTATTACTACTATTTTGTAATGTTTTGGAGATGTATTTTTCACCCATCTATGATGACGCTAAACTTTCAGATTTTTAATGATCTCGTTTAGTACAAATATCTCAAAATTTATATTCCGGCACATCATATTATTATATGTAATGAAACAGAGTATAAAATTACCTCAATTATAACATATTAAAAGTTTAAAGTGCCGTATTGGAAAATCGTGAAAATTTCCACCAAATATAAAAATTCAACAACTGGATCTTGCCGGCCACTTCTTTACATTTTTGCAAATATCTTGAAATATTTATGCTACTAAATATAATTATTATAAATGTTTAAAAAGCTTATGAATGTCCCTATATTATGACGTATGTAGAATTATTTAAAACAATGGTCAAACTTTTGATCAACTGGCGCAAAAAAATATAACTTGCTTAGTTTTGTGCAAATATAATAATTTTTTTATTCTACTGAATTATATTTTTATATATGGTTAAAAAGCTTATAAAATTCACTAAATAATGGCGTAAATAAAAGTAAATAGTGTTATATTAAAAAATTGTGAAAATTTCCACCAAGTTCTACCAAATGGTTTAAATACACGTAAGTAAAAGAAATACTCGTATAGTATACAGAATATATATGAAGATGAAATTTCATTAAATCAAGGGTTGTCTACTAATAAAATCTCATAGACTTGTTGTGCAAATAAAGAAGTAACATAATTATGGTCAATGCTCCATCAACCCTTTCATCCCTCTATTCATCCGAACGACAAACACAAATGTGTTTCCTGGTAAATAAAAACGATTTAATATCAGTCGAAATATCGAAAATATTGTTCACCATCATGTCGAATTTGATTTTGGGGTAAAAATATGATATATGAAGTATACATTATATTTTCGATTTTAAAATAGTTCATAGTCTTTTTCAACTGATCTTTCTGGTGGAAAGCCCCCGAGGACCATTATCCCTTCGCGTTTCCCGAAATCGGCTTAAGAATTTTTATTTGTGAAATATTTACACAGTTTTGACCACAATAATAATAATAATAATGATAATAATGGATGTAAGGAAGGAGACATATTGTGGTTAATCCGGTTACGGCGGTTGTTGTACCTGTGGCGGTTATAATCCGATATTAATGACTTATTCACAGGCCGAGAGTGAGCCTGAGACACTGTCGTATGGAGGTGATCGATTGAAAACTATATGCATACACACACACCCATATATATATATATATATATATATATATGTATATATATATATATATCTTCTTATATAAAAATGGAGCTCTCGATCAAATAGTCCACTAAAACTCGAAAACGGCTAAACCGATTTGGCCAGTCTTAGTCTTGAAAAATTCGTGCTAATCAGTAGGTTGTCGGAAACGTGAGATATTATTTCAAAATCGCGTAAAAACTTTACATTTTTAATTAGAACATTTTTGTGGAAGCGTAATTTGAATAAAACAATGGACGGTGGCTAATACGTCAAATGTCAAACATTTTTAACAGATGATGTTCAATTACTTTTAATGGGATGTTTTACGTGGATATTATTTAATTATGATTAAATTGTAGTAAGTAGTTTTGTTCGTAGTTACATTTATACACAAAAACGTCTTTAAACAGATCGCAAGTGTTACTAGAAACTCAAAATATCAACTTTTTTGAAATGTTTATATGAAAATGCACTTTTTGGCATATTTTTCTCAAACACGGTGCTCTGAATGATCTCATTTGTATAATTATATACTCATTGGTATTCATAAAACATTTTCTAGGTTATATTATTTTTTATTTATGTTATTTAAATTCAGAACCTATATTTGGTATCGATCAAATGGACATTTTGTCGAATAACATTTTCCCAGTTATAATTTCCCAGAATTTATCGAAGAATAGATAGTAATATATGAAGGTCCGGGGTCAAGAAGGTCCACCACCGATGTGTCAAAAACCAGTAAAGTTAAGCATTGTTCAACAACAATATTTGAAAGTAGAGGAAAAAAGATGTATAACCAGCTATAACCTTGATTCTTATGACTTTGCTATCAGGAGATAAACGGTTAACTTTGAAAATTCATAATAAAAGTATTTTCTTCCGTTGGTAGTTTTTAAGCATTAGTTAAAAGTGTAATTATTTTGTAAAATACCTTTAAAATTACAATAGGACATTAAACCTGTTTGCCACCTGGCCGTTTCAAGTCACCCCGTCTATGGGGTAAAAAGGTCTAGATAACAAATTTTTGAAAGACATAAAAAAGCACATTTCTACAGTGATAAAGTAGAAGGCAATTTTACTGAAAGTAGTCAGATAATTGTTTGTTTGAAATTTGTTATTTGTTGTGATATAATTGTTATGGTTTTTACAATATAGTTTATATTTGCTCAAAGTCAAATTGGAACTTTGTGTCTCGCCCTGCTCTACATATATATTTTTTATTAAATTTACTTTAATTTATCGAATGTTACTTTAAACTTTTCAAAAAGCAGATCAAAGAAGAAATACTTAATTCATTTTCTATCTGTCCTCGCAGAAATTTGAAATTTTTTTATGAGCTCAGTAGTATTATTCACAATTATACACAAAATCTAGAATCCAAAAAGAATCCGAAAAACTTGAAACGAAATCAATAAGTCGAAAGATCAAAAAAGACTTGGATTGGATTATAAGATGTTTTCTATAGAAAGTGTATAAAACTTCTAGTTTGATTGTATTGAAAAGATATAGACAAACTAATGGGGTTCATGGTTCTTATAATACCTCATTGTATATAGCATTGAAACAACACATCCTTATACACTTAAAGTATTAATATTTTTGATTCTATAGAAATTGTTTAGAATATACCTTACTTAGCAAAACAACGTTTGCCGGGTCAGCTAGTATATATATCCATTATCATTTATTTTTTTCTTTGTCCCCAGAAGAAACGGCACCTGGTCCCCCTCGATGACATCATCACCGCCGTCGTCGCCCGGAGGCGAACCCCATGCTTCCCATTCCCAAGACAACTTCCAAAACTGGAAGTCCCCATCCCCGAGTCCACCTCTGCCACAAACCATAACCGGTTCAACATCCTTAACCCCGCACCCGCACCCCCAGCCGATGCTTCCGGTGCCCCAATTCGGTGGAGCAGGACTCCAAATGGGCCTCGCCGCCCAACTGGCTGCCAGTAGGCAGCAGATGGCGGCCCATTTCGGCTTCGAGGAAAGGATAAATGAGAGGCTGAACGAGTCCTCGAGGGTGAATTACGAGGATGGAAGCGAGGCCAGTTTCGAGGCTGATGATAATAAGAATGTTGGCCATGTTGAGGTCGGTAAAAGGAGGAGCAGTGTGGGCGATTTGGAGGACACGGCTTCTACAGGCTGGAGGAATATTAAGGAGGCCAGGGATTCTGCAGGGGTTGTTCATAGGCCGTGGGAGAGTTGTAACAATAGTGCGTAGTGGGTAAAATTGAGAGTCTCTGAGTGTGAACATGGAAAACCTCTGAATAGATTCCCAAAAGAAAATCTTTAAGAATTCTGAGTTGAAGAAAAGATATTGTTAGTAATTTACCAAGAAATTTTTGGACTTGCTCAAAACGATCCAAGGAGTACCAGACAACCAGAAAAATGCTAATTTTAATTTGAATAATTTCCAAAAGTTCCAGAACGTATATGAATTGGCAGCAATGTCTACCAAATTGGTGGAAAATTAATAAGTATCATAGAAAGTCTAAAATTTGAACACATTTTCAGAGAAAATGTTCAAAACTGGTGATGCCCATTAATCACCAAATCAAATTTTGACAAAACTATATTAATAAATAGTAAAAATTGTGTTAAATTTAACAAAAAAAGTGTTAATAAAATGCTAAAAACAGCGATGAATGACTTATGAAGCAAAATTGACAGTCCCTGAATGTGAACATGGTAAATCTCTGAATAGATTCCTAAAAAAGATTTTCAAAAAATCTGAGA